TATATTTTAAAAAAAGAATCCCTGATAAATGACTCTTCTTCCTAATACAAAGGACTCTTCTTCCTGTGTCACATACTACAGGAGTTCTACAATGATACCCGCGTTTCTATATGGTTTTTCCTTTCAGTTGACTTTTGTATTTCTAACGTTTTCCCCTCTCAAAATCCATAATAGGGCATATGACAATTTGCTTCATTTTGTTGATAAGAATGATGTGTTATAAAAGATACTTAATTGAAAGTATCCTACATATCAACATTTCTTTATTTTGTTTCCTTAGACCTTGCTGGAAGTCTGGTTTGCTAATCTCTGATACTTAATTCATGATAACATATTAATGACTGACAAAATAGTGTGATGATTCTCTCATAGAACTTTCATTTAAAAATATTAGATCCTTAGATCTTAAAGTGCCTTATCCCAAAGGGAGAAATTTTCTTTTCTTTTCAAGAATGATATTTCAGTGACTTTCCTAACGGTCCAGTGACTAAACTCTTTGTTCCCAGTGCAGGGGGCCCAGGTTTGATCCCAGGTCAGGGAAATAGATCCTACATCCTACAACTAAGAGTTCATATGATGTAACTAAGGCCTAGCTCAGCCAAATAAATAAATATTAAAAAAAAAAATTATATTCTAATGGTAGTACTCTAAAGTACATGGGTCAATTCACTACCTAAAAAGGGCAGCAAATGGTCTGTGGTCAACCTTGACCTTAGATTTAAGAAGGGAGATGTTTTAAGTGCCTCTCTTCACCTAGATAATGATTTGGGCCCTGGATAAATAACAAGCCAGTTACTTTTGTAAAGCATTATCTTGGGCTTTCAAAATGATTATTTTTTTCTAAACTATATATTTTAAAACATTTTTTATTTAATTTTTTTATCTGTACCCCTCAGCTTGCAGGATCTTAGTTCTCCAACCAGGGCCTGAACCTGTGCCCCCTACGGTGGAAGCACAGAATCCTAACCACTGGGCCACCAGGGAAATCCCTCAAAATTATTGATGACTGTTATAAAAATTGAAGTTGAGCTTAAAAAAATCCTACTACAGTATAAGCCCATCTATGAAAGCAGCAAAGTCAAATTCTTTGGCGGCTTCTTTATTTAAAAAATTGGGGGAAGAGAAGAAAAATTTTTAGGCAGAAAAAGACATTCAGTGTTTTTTTGAAACTCTTCTTTCCCCATTCTTTAGGAGAAAAAACTCTGCCAGTTGCAAGTGCTAGATCCTAGAGAAAAGCAGGAAACTAGCATGAAACCTGGAGGGGACATGCAGTTTTCTTAGAAGGGAGGCTCTTGTCTCAGCTGTGGATATCACACCCATCCTTCGGCAACGGTCCTGGAAAACTGAGACGCCTCATCGCTGCTCTCTGCCCTAAGCCCCACACTCACGTACCCCAGAAGTTGTAAATCTTTGGATCCAGTGGGCCGTGGCTAAGAGAGCGGGTGCTAGGAGTGCCATCTACAGAATATCCTAATCTCACATACTCATCTTGTAAACGCATGTCACAGGGGAAGCGGATGCCACTAGAGAGCCTTATGGCCTATTCCCACTGCAAGAAGAACAGCTCAACCTCAGGCCCTTTGGGCATTGGTCATTTTCATTTGAAAGGTAAAATTTACAAGGTAACTATATTAATTTGCTGGGGCTGCCACAACAGAGTACCAAAGACTGGCTGGCTTAACAATAGAAACGTATGTCCTTGTGTCTCTGGAGAAGGGGACAACAGAGGATGAGATGGTTGGATGGCATCATCAATTCAATGGACATGAGACTGAGCAAACTCTGGGAGATAGCGAAGGCCAGGGAAGCTTGGTGTGCTGCAGTCCATGGGGTCACAAAGAGTGCGATTCAACTGGGCGACAGAACAACGTCTCTGGAAACTAAAAGTCTCAGACCAAGGCGTCTGCCCACATATTCTCCGTCTTCTTTTTTAAAGTATTTACTTACTATGTTTGTTTTTGGCTGCGCCAGGTCTTCATTGCAGGGGATCTTTTTCAGCTGTGACATGTCACAACTCTTAGTTGTGACAAGTGGAATCTAGTTCCCTAACCAGGGGTTGAACCTGGGCTCCCTGCATTAGGAGAAGAGAGTCTTAACCACTGGACCACTAGGGAAGTCCCCAACATATCTTCTTCCGAAGCTCTCTCCTTGGCGTGTAGATGACTGTCTTCTCCCTTTGTGTTCACATGGTCTCCCCTCTTTGTGTCTGTGTTCTAATTTCCTCTTCTGATAAGGACATCTGTTTTGCTGGATCGGGGACCGCTGTAATGACCTCATTTTAACCTAATTACCTCTCCAAGTTTCTATCTCCAAATACAGTCACATTCTGAAATACTGATGATTAGAACTTCAACATTGTAATTTTTGTCAAGGACACAATTCAGTCCATAACAACAGCAGACAAGTATCATTTGTCAGATGAATATATCCACACCGATCTTGAGTTTTAGACTCGCTTTATGAAAATGCCTGGGCGTGTTATGTTACTGAAGGAACATGAAATGTTTCATTTCGTCCTCTCCTCTTTGGCCATTTCACAAGAGAAGTGCTGGCTGCGAAGTAAAATGGAGATCTCTTAAGTGGCACTTGTCAATCAGTTTCACTTCCTCAATAATTGCAACTCCTTGGTGGGAGCTGACCTCTTTGAAAGAGCACTCCAGATGCAAAGAATTATTTGTGAACAAAGCGATCGCTGGCACAGTGTCAAATTCCATTCATTTATTTCAGAAGCATTTATGTACCATATGGAGGTACTTTGCTAGGTAAGGGCTAGGTACCTTGTAAGCGGGTGAATGGAGAGTGTAAGGAAGGAGATTCTGATCATGTCTGAGACCTGGAGAAGTCTGGGACAGTTGCAGGCATATTAACATGGCTGAAGGCTTTCCTGGTGGCTCAAAAGTAAAGAATCTGCCTGCCAATGCTGGAGACACAGGTTTGATCCCTGATCCAGGAAGATTTCACATGCCTCAGAGCAACTAAGCCTGTGTGCCACAACAATTGAGCCTGTGTTCTAGAGCCTGGGAGCTGCAACTACTGAGTCCACGTGCTGCACCTGCTGAAGTCTTCGCACCTTAGAGCCTGTGTTCCTCAACAAGAGAAGCCACAACAATGAAAAGCCCGCACACCCCACCTAGAGGGTAGTCCCTGCTCACCACACCTAGAGGAAAGCCCACATGGCAGTAAAGAACCCACACAGCCAAAAATGTAATTAATAAACGTGGCTGAGAAATTTCCAAGGATCTGTGCTGTAGTTATTTCAGAAAATCTAGCCTCTTTCCTCCTGTTACCTCCTGCCCTCTAGGTTGAGAGAATTTCTTGGGACCTATTCTGGGTTCCAAGTTGCTTGGGTGATAAGGATTCTCCTATCAGTTGGGACCCTAATCTCCTCTTCAAACATACTGACCCAAACAGAGTGCCTTCAGCATGACCTGTGACTATCTACCTACCTGTCTGTCTGCCTATCTTTTCATAGGTTTTTGATAAGCATGGCTTTTCATATATCAGGAACACAGCATGACCTGTTGCTCACAATTTTTGCAGTGTGTGTCTATGTAAGAATTTACTGCTGTACTTAAAATTTTCAACATTAACCATGTGTAAAATTAGTCTGATTTTAAATTACCCAGATTAGTATTGATTTGTATAGAATCATAGAATAGTAGATTTGGGAGGGCATTTAAGTCACAGTCTCCTTCTTCACAAGAAAGTAAGGCCTAGCAAAGTGACTTGTCCAAGGTCACAAAAGAACTGAGACTGAGCCCCAAGCCTTCAGATTCCAATCTCACCTGTCAGCTCTACTATATTAAATAATCACCTCGATGCTGTAGTTTTTCCTCTTTCTCTACAATTATAAATGCCTACAACCCTCCAAGATACTGCACACTGTTTGAAAGCCCCTCACTTCCCTTATCTCACGCACATGTACACATGGGCACAAAAAGGCATTGGCATTTTGTAGTAATAAAGGCCAGATTCTGACAACGAGGGTCCCTTGGCCTTGTCCCAGTTTTCCTGGACTTCACCTGGGTTCACTGCCTCCTCCCTTTTTCTCACCCCAGGTGCTTTCACGTCTGAGGACTGTTGGGCTTTTCTTGGCTCCCTCAGGAGGACTGCAAGGAATCAGAGAGGGGACAGTGCAGAGTCAGAGGAGCATTCTAAGAAGGCACTGGGTACTCACTCTTTGGATGAATGAATGAACGATTGAATGAATCAATCAATGAACAAGTGAAAGTGAAAAGGAAAGGGGAAAAAAAGGGAGAGGAGGCCGACCTTCTGGATTCTTGAGGCTGAGGATGGAATGGAGTTAAGGAATGGGGTCTCTTCTGTAGCCTGCTGGGTGGGGGGGGCTCAGGACCTAAGTAGCTCATGGCCAGCTCTCAGTTGAGTAGAGCCCAGAGGCCCCCTACTTTCTTCAAATGTCTTCCCTGACATTCCCTTCACGAGGGAAGACTCTTGGTGCTTAGTATGTGTGTTTTGAGGACAGGGTTCGTTTTATTCAATTTTATATCCTTTGTTCAACAAATAATTTTTTTTTTCATGAATACTTGACAACTGAAAGACAGACATCTGGAAATTAATAACCTACTAATTTCTAGTCGCAGTATAACTGCTGATGTCCGATTCTCTTCTGTTTTACTCTGTGTATGTGTGTTCGATCAGAAAGAAAAATGGTCCTGGGTTTCTGTAAAAATACGGATGAATCTGGGATTTTGGAAACATTAAGATTTCAGAAAAGAACATAATCTCTGCAGATGTTACAATTTTGCAGGAGATAGGATCTGTTTTTGTTTAGCAGCACATGGAGCCCTGGGCAGAGCGTCTGATATGGATATTAACTAGCATTTCGGCTATGTGTCCGTGAAAACCTCAAACTGTGGAAGTTGGGGTGAAGGAGAGGATGTAGCCCAGGGGCTGAGCTGGGCTGGTCTTGAATCAAACACACCTCTAGGTTTCTGATGGGGAACTGATACTTTTTTCTCCTATCTCCCTCCCTTCTGCAGCCCTGACAAAGCAAAGAACTGATGATTCCTTTGGTAGGCTGTGATTGCTACCGCTTTTCTGCCGCCTAGAATGTTTTTCTCCCACCCCTCCTGATAATACATCGTGCTCCACCCCCATGTCCATGGTGAGAAACAAGTTTTCTTTGGAGCCATCTTCACCGGCTGCTGATAGAAGAAAGAACTGCTGAGATGAATAAAGAGAGAAGGAGCAGGAAGCAGGTGGGGGAGACGAGGGCATCATTAGTAGCCCCGAAACTAGGACTCCGGACTCCCCGGTCAGATGAAGCAAACCCCTCTGCCCCCTCTATTCCCTTAGCATTTTCATTTGGGCTTCATTTAATTGCAACAGAAGGTGTCTTGATTAATGCAATTCCTTCCCTCTTTCCCGGCCTACTCATAATTCTCTCTGCCTCAGTTTCCTCATCATAAAACCTGTGGTTTACTTGATCACCAATATGATTTCTTCCCCCCAAACACAGAGTGCAGTATTATTATAAACAGTAACTTCTATTTTTAGGAATTGCAGGTTTCCCATCTTGGCTGCCTTACCAGAGAGTTTCTGAATCAGGGCCAGCTCTCTTTCAATAACACAAGACATAATCTAAGCAGAATAGTAATGATAGTCCAGAATTTTTTAGAAAATCCAAAGAACCAAGGACTTTCAGTGATTTGTCTAAACAAGGTCTATTGTCAACCAGGATAAAATATCATTTTATTGTGTCTGGTTTGTGCTCTGGCATTTAACTGAAGCTTAACAAATAAGACTGTAAATTCAGGGACAGGAAGCAGTGAATAACAAAAAGAACTAATGTCTCCTTGACATCACTCACTCTTAAGAAGGCTGTTTACTTCTCAGTTTACCTCCCAGTGTGTTTTAAAATACTCTCGCAAATCTCAGCTTGAAATAGCTGTTCTACCTTCTCTCAATAGAAGCCCCCACCTTCTAAGTACACTGGCTTATAGTTATTTATAAACCTCATGTCAGTCAAAGATTATTTTGTGTATCCCTCCTCCTAACTCTCTTCTCCCTACATACCAAGATAGACCTATATAAAATTAGAAACTTCACATAAAAATATTCAGTCACTTAGATAAGAATTATTGTCAGCAATCATTTCTGAAGCATAAATTTATCATATTGGTTAAAGCATGTCTCTGAGACTGTTTCATAGATACCAGCTCCTTAAAAAAAAGAAGGCTTCTGTGGCCAAGCTGGTTTGGAAAACTATATGCCTCTTAGGGATTTTAAACTCTACAATAAAGTACCTTCAGAGAAGTTAGAAATTGTAAATCTATTTCCTCAAAGAATCCTTTTCTTTCAGTACCTGGTAACATTTCATGGAATAATGTGTCTTGAATCACATTTTTGAAAATGAGGGAGGTGGCCTGCACACGGGATATGGAGGCAGGAGGTCTGGGTAAAAGATGTCATCAGATATCACAGAGATATATAAGGTTGTATTAGGCAATGAATTATGTATAAGCATATAAAGATATTTGCCCTAGTAATTCTTACCTAACAATTAGGTATTTAAGTCTACTTGGGGGAACAAGGTCAAGGTAGGATTAGAGCATGTTTGATCCAGAAGTTTCTTTGGTGATAATTGAATTTGACCCTTTCATTTTATGTATGATAAAGTGAAGGCCCACAGGGGTCAAATGAATGGCTTAAGGTCACTCAGGATTAATGTTAGGAATATCTGATTCCCACCCAGTGATGGACTTTATTGCCCAACGGCTGCCTCAGTGTGAGACAAAACATGGCCCTATGAAATTTTCAGTCTAATGAGGTGAGACATACAAATGATATAATCAGAAAACAAGACGACATGGAGCAAAGTTTAAAAGCTCAAAAATGGGGCTGAAGGTAACCATTCGAGATGAGGGATATGATAATTAGCTTGACTGTAACAGCTATATCAAAATGAGTATGCATATCCAAACATCGTCTCAAAACTTATATAATTATTATTTTAAAAATAATTTATTTTGGCCGTGCTGGGTCTTAGTTGTGGCACTCAGGATCTTTTGTGAGGCCTGTGGACTTTGTAGTTGTGGCATGCATGTGGGATCTAGTTCCCTGGCCAGGGATGGAACCCAGGCCCCCTGCATTGAGAGTTCAGAGTCTTACCCACTGGACCACCAGCAAAGTCCCTGTAAGTTTTATTTTTTAAAAATGTGGCTGAAGTAACAGGGGCAATGAGAATTCAGGAGTGAGGAAGCCCAGTAGCCAGGCTCAACTGGAGGTAAGACTGGAGATGGGGCCTTAAGGAGTATACAGCACTATGTTGAATTTGGATACTGTAAGAGGAAAAACAGTGGTGCTCCAAAACAGAATTGGAGATGATAAGTCAACAGACTAAGCGGCTGGCAATACTCTAAATAGTCAGGCATTATAGTTTGGGTGAAATATTCATCAGTAAGCATTACTGGACCCTTTCAAATTCTGAGAAGTTTCTGGAGCTTCAGAGAGAATATGAGAAGTAGACAACATTGTCTCTGATTTTAGAAAGCTTATTTCTTTATTTGGAGAGGAGATGGGAACATAAGACAAAATTGGAGAATGTAAGGATGTAAGTATCTTATACAAAGGGTAGTAGGGGAAGATGGGCTGTTAAGGCAGGATTTCTGCAGAAGATGAACCCCGAGTTGTTTCTTAGGAGAAACTTGTAGTTGATTCATGTTTGAAAACACCTAGGATAATTCGTGTCATTCCTTGCATTAAGAGGGAAGTTTCAATATGCATATAATGTAGGACTGTGTGTTATTCTTCTGTCCTTGGTCTTTATTTACTTTTTAATTCTTTCCTTGTCATTTCTTATAGGATATCAAGTGGAGGACTAGACTGCTTGATTCAGTATGGTTGTCCATACAGATGTGTACCCCGAATAGTAAGGGCCTGCTTTTATTCCTGTTTGTTACCTCTTCCTCTTTCACATCCATCATGTTCCCAGTCTTCCTATGATGGATAATTGACCTAATTAAGAGCATAAAAGGTAAGATTAAAGGAATGATTTTAAGACTCTGCCCGATTAGTCACCATTCCCTCCAGCTAACCAGTTCCCAAGTCCTGTTGACTTTTGACATTCTAAATATTTCTCAACCTGTTCTCTGCTCTCTCTGCTCTTTCCTCTGCTGCTCGATTCAGATCATAACCATTTCTCATCTTATTTATGCAAGTACATTGCAACTGGATTCTACCTCTCTTTCCTTCAATCCTTAACTTCATCTCTCACAATCAGAATCACTTTTCAAATACGCAAAGCCGCTTTATCCCTCTAGTGAAAATCCTTCTGAGCTTCTTTTTAGCTTACAGGCAAAGTCCAAAGTGGCATTCAGAGCCTTTCTGGTTCTGGCTCCTGTTCACCTCTCAGTTTTATCTTTGGTTACTTCTAAACAAAACAGAATCCCATTCATGAGTGTGGCTGTTTTTTTTTTTTTTTTTTAGGTCTCAAGGATTTTTTTTTTATGCAGTAAAGTTGCTCAGCATACTTCAAACTGCTGAACTCCTACTCATCCTTCAAAACTCCTTCATTCCTGGTCACCTCAGTAATGCATTCCCTTTGCCACCTTTTCATAGTGCAAATACAGTACTTTTCAGAGGTATCGTAATCAGTCATGAGTCTGCCTTTTCTACTGAGCTGTGTGCTTCTTAACAAAGGACTTTTGAGTGCTGTCTTCAGATGAGATCAGTGCTGGCATACAGGTCCTGTAGCAACACTGTACCTAGTGAGGTCTTCCCCTACCCTCGCATTCCTCACACCACGACTTGAATAGGTCACGAAAAGTGCTGGAAGGGTTAAAATCATCAGGAGAAAGAGTGATAATTCACTGATAGAAAACGAAAAAGAGGAGGAAAAAGACAGGAAGGTAAAAGGAAGTTCATCAGGAGATAGTTACTTCCACAACACGAAAGGCTTTCAACCCCTAAAAAGACCAGTCTATTTTCCTTTTCAGGGAAAACAACATGAATGTTATCCAAATCTTTTGGAAATGAGCAAATTCCTTCCTTTCGCCTGCCCTCCAGCCTCAACTAGAATGGTTTTTATGTGGTGACCTGGAGTTGGTAGCTCAGCAGGGGAGTTCTCTGCCTGGGGACAGAGAAGCTTAGCCTCAGAGGCTAGCTGAGAGAACCTAGAAGAAACCCACCTTTGTTCTTAAGAATTTTGCCTGGGGAAGGGCAGATCTGACATTAAACCTCCTGAGAGCTGGCTAAAACCCTGAGTGTGGAGAAGTGGAGACTGCCAGTATTCAGGTCATAATAATCAGAAAGTCTCTTGAAACCACCTCATTGTAAAAAGTCACTTGTATAAAGTCACTTGGGTGGCCAGTATGGAAAAATGAAATCTGTTCTATTGGGTCCTTCAGGATATGTGCCATATGAAGGCACAGAAGGTCATTTATTTTTATGACTGAAATCAACATATGACACATTATTTCAATTTAGAAAGCAGATCTTTTAAAAAAAGGTAAAGTCATAATTAAAAAGCATTTTAAAATAGCACTTTATTGAGAATTCCCTTGTGACCCAACGTTAGGACTCTGGATTCCACTTCAGGGCCACAGGTTCCATCCCTGATCAGGGAACTAAGATCCAGCATACCATGCTGCGCAGCAAAACCAAAACTTTGATTTACAGAAATCTTTTAATAACGTGTCTGTTTCTTAGCTGGGCTAACATTATTACATAAAACACTCCATAGGATGTGATGATCACTAATTTGTTGATGAGGAAATTGACCAGCTCAGAGGAGCCATCCCGTACCTTTTAGGAAAGGGCCCAGGGTGGTATGACAGGTCTCTCACCTCCAGTTTGAGACCTTTCTAGACATTCCTCAAACACTTCAAACACTGACTCTTCAAACGCTGCTGTAGATAAAACCTAACGATTATGATACTTCCTACATAAGGAGAATCTAGGGGATGGGAAGGAGAATTGAACGTATAGGAATGAATATGAAGGCGTACTAAATTCCACTTCCCGTTTCTTAAAAGAACTGCCCGAGAGGAGATTCTTTAAAACATCACTACTCTACATTTACGGTGCGAATAAGGAAATTAACAATGCAGACTGGCTAAGAGAGACTTGAAGTAGCTAATAAGGCGAAGGCCGAAGAGAGACACCGGGGCTGCCTCCTTCATTTAGATCAACGATTAAATGAGCACAACAGGGGGCAGAGGCAGGTAGAACGCGGATTCTCGCGTGGCTACCGCGGGTGGTATTCCCGGCACTCGGCGTTCCAGACGCTTCCTCACGGTGTGCGGGTCTGTGTGGCTTGGACTCCATATTCCACTCGTTTCCCCTCAACGTTGTAGCCTCGCTAACAGGCACTCCAGACGCGAGACGCCGGGACCAGCCAAGATCCAGCGCGATATCTTAAAAGACGGTGATGATTTTTTTTTGTTTTTTTTTTTTTGTAGGAGGTGGCGGCCGGGGCTTCCCTTTTGGGGTCCCCCCACCCCCGACTACATCCTCGGCCGCCAGGCCGCGTGCCGCGCCGGGAGGTGGCCTTTCCGCGAGGTGACCTCGGGCTCCCCCCGAGCCCGACCGCAGCACGCTCCGTGTGGAGACGCGAGGCGGTGTCCTGAGGTGACACCGGCTGTGCCGCCGAGGCAGCAGGCGCCGCCGATCAACTAGTTCGCACCGAGGATTCCTCTTGGTGCGTGGCCCAGTTTTCCTCAGGACGGGCTCCAACCCCTAGCCGACACCGCCCCCCGCGCCGCCACGCTCCGAGGCCTTCCCCCGGGACGCGGCGTTAGTTCCCAGCGCCCATGGCCATAGCCATTTTGTAGTCGGGGGACTACAACTTCCAGAAGATCAAGGGGACCATTCTAAGGTGCCCCGGGAATAGGCGGCTCTCCCCGGGGCCAGGCGTCCTGGGGCACTGGCACCCAGCAGCCCGGCTGCAGGTAGACACGCTGCGTGGCGGGGGCTAGCGTTGTGGCTGCCGAGGGGTGAGCGGCAAGCTGGGGAAAGGGGGTGAGGTGGAGCGACCGAGCGTGCCATGCATTGAGCTAGGGAGCCTCTCTCAATTCCAGTCTTAGGCTCGGCGTGGGAGCGATGCCTGCAGGGTAGCCCGGGAAGGGTTCGTGGAGGCCTCTCGGGTGTCTCGTCGACGGGGCCATGGGGGTCCTGTGGGCTGGGCCAGGGGCGGTCGGCACTGGAGTAGGCGGGCGCCTGGTGGCCCAGCTGTGGGAGTTTTCGGCTGACGTCCGGTGGGGAATTATCCGAGGAGCCCTAACTTGTATAAAAGCAGAGTCCATTTAAAGTTGGGCTGGATAGCCTCTCTCTCATTGGTTAGGGGGCTTGGAAAAAAGAGACTCGGCGAGCCCTCGCTGTGGTGCTGCCGCCGCCGCCGCCGCCGCCGCCGCTGGAGTTGACTCTTCTGCTCGCACTGCTGCTGCAGCACAAACGTGACTTCCAACATTTTTTATTTATCTTTCCCTTTTCTTTTCCAAGATGTAACTACAGCTCAGACACTAAGGACCTTCACGTTTCGCTGATGTAGTTTTTGGAGGAAAAAGGGGGGGGAGTGAAGGGCGTCGGTTTTTTTTTGTGTGTGTGTGTTTCGGGGGAAATTTTCCATTATGAGTGTTTTACTAAAGTGAATTTTTTTTTTGTTTGCTTCGTCTTTGGCTTTTTTTTTTTTCCCTTCCCAATTTCGGATTTATTTCAAGGCGAATCAGGCTTTGGGGAAAGAGGAAGAAAAGTCGGATTACAAGATCAGCCACCACCAACAACAATAAAAACCACCAAGATATTTTTTTGCAAATTTCTGACGGCTTTAAATTCATGAAGCAATTGTCCCCTTTTGCAATCAGCATTTGGATCTCAGAATGAGCAAGGAAAGACCCAAGAGGAATATCATCCAGAAGAAATACGTAAGTGCTCCTAACAACACATCCTTTGACTTGTAGTTTTAAGCAATGGCTGTGAATGTCAAGTTTATAGATAATTCTGCAGCTGAAGGGTTTGAAATACAGCGTCCGATAAGGCTGTTTCTTTCTTTTCTGAAAGAAGGCTTTTCAGGCAAAGTCGTGTCTGCCTAGTTTGGATGAAAAAACAGATTGGTGTAGCGATACCTCCAGTGAATAAATTGACCTCGAATGACACAACCATAATCTAGTTTTAGATGAAAGGCAGGGGATTTTGGTGGAGCCTACTCGGGGAGGTGGGGGCTGCGGTAATATAACTAAACTGCATTCTCGGGCGGATTTGTCCCCATATTGCACTTTGCATGCAAATGAGTCTGTGTTATTATTATTAATGTTATTTGGGAAATCGTGTAACGCGTGTGTGTTGGAAGCCCTTTAAGTTGTAATCGAGGGTCCGATTATGGCGATCTTGTTCCTTGCACTGGCACATCAAATTTAATGTATGTGGTCGTTTTGGCTTATTTGGTTCGCGACATAAACCAGTTGGGAATCATGTTACAGGGAATGCATTTGTTGGGATTGACTTTAATAATGGGACTGGTTTTGTTTAAAAATTCATGGTTTCCAGTTTTAGGGGAAAAAGACATAGAATATAGTTAACGTTTTTAAGTAGGCATGTGAATGTAAATGTAAGTGACTACAATTAATTTCTCCCAGTTAACTGGGCTTCTGAAATTTGGTGATTATTCCGAGATTTAAATGGTTTGGAATAGTTAAATTTGTTTTGTGCATAGTACAGCTACGTTTTGATTGGCATGGGGAGTGTTTTTGTTTTGTGTGTGGTGGCTTTTTTTTTTTTAAGTTTGGGGGGAGGGAGAGGAGAGGGGGGACCGAGGATTAACCAAATATGCACTCTAGTGATCGGTGATTAGCTGCATGCTTTAAATCAAAGAACCCATTAAAAAAAAAAAGGCCGAATGAACACACATTAGGAATAAAGCAGTGTTATAAGAAAGTTTGATTTAACTCGGGTGGACAAATTGGTGTTAATATTTTCCCTTTTTGAGCACTATGATATGTGTAATGGGAGATGACCTTCGGGGCACTGGTTTTGTAAAAAATAGATTTAATGGAAAAGCTGAATACCTCTTCTTGAGGGCTGATCCTAACCTAGACACATAAACTTCAACTATGAAAGAAATGCAAGGTTAAATAATCAAGCCCAACTTAAAACGCTGTTCCCTAAAGAATATAAGAATTAAAATACATCCGCATTGCAGAGGGCTGAGGAGAATGCAAAGGACTAGTTTAAACTCGGGCTGTAGAAACTGCAGGGAGACAAGCTTGCCTGCGAGCGTGGACGCCTTCCCGGGGCACGTCCGATCCGGGTGCAGCCACAAAGCAAAAAGGGGGGTAGAACTTGGACCAGAGCCACCCCCGCTCCCATCCCAGCCCTCGCTAAGTTGGGGAGCGACGTGGGGTGGGATTTTTTGTTCCTGGTGGTCAGCGGATTGTGTCGATTCCGGGCGTCCGGCCGCCTGCCTGCGGCTGGCGGCGGCCGCAGGAGGCAGAGCACGAGTTAACGCTCGGGGAGCGGAGCCTGTGTTCCTGACGTGCTCGAGCCGGTGCGGCATCCCCGCCCCCGGGTTCCTCCCCCGCCTCGCGCCGGCCTCCGCCCCCTTCCTCCGCTCCCCGCGGCTCCGGGTTCCCGGACGCTCAGGCCGGGTTCTGTTGTCATTGTGACGTCACAAAGGGACGGGCCCGGGTGGAACCTTCTCCTCCTCCGTGACGTCAAAAGTCGGGCGGGAGGTTCCAGCGCGGCGGGGCTGCGGGGGCGGAGGGAGCGGTGGTGCGAAGGCGGGGGCTGCCGCGCGGGAGGAGGAGGAGGAGGAGGATGCGATCGGCCTCGGCCTTCCGCCGCGAAGCGCCGCGCTGTCCTCCAGGTGAGCGCAGGGAGCCGCTGGGAGCCTGTGGTCCCCTGGCGAGCGCCCCTGACCCTGCTCTGGTTCCGTTTCGGGGGTGGGCAGCAGGCCGAAGACGCCTCCTGTCTGCGAAAACGTTTTCGCTTCCTCTGTTTCCAGGTCTGCTGACGGCTGTGTCATTATTGCGGTGGTGGTCGTGCTTTCTCAAAGTCAATGCTTTTGCAAAAGCAGGGAAACTTAAGTGGGGCAGCTTGGCTTTGCAGGAGAACAGCGTGATGGGTTTGGCCACCTTGTCAACTTTAAGTCGTGTTGGGGATGTCACGGCAGGATGTGGCGGGGCGATGCTGCACGGCATCAGCTGCTGGTTTTTCTGGAAGCCTTGAAACACCAGAGTGGCACTTATTCGCTATGCCAGCTCTAGGCCTATGGAGTAGTTCATGGGTTGGTGCAGACGGAAGACGACCAGTCATTGGTAGGTGTCCTTTGAAGAGCCCTGGACTGCAAGTCTAAGGTGTCCTGGGCTCAGTTCTTCAGAACGAGTACATGAGAGGCAGGAAATCTGGGTTTATTTACTCTTATGTAAAATAGAAAAAGTAATACATGCTTTTGCCTTTTCACTTTATCAGAGATCGCGTCCGTGAGATGATGTGCGTGGAAGATGTAAAACTGTTCTGTTTCTTTGTAAGATGAAATTATTGAGCTGGTGGAAGGCAGCACATTCCCTACAATTGGTCTCCAAAGCCTTAGATGCCTGCCGCGTTGCCGTTTAGTTTATTGCTTTAGCAAAACAGAGTTTGGGGGTGGGATTGTAGATGGCAAGCTTTGGGAAAAATGATTGTTATATTTCATATTAAATGACGTTTTTGAAAAACTCATAAATTGCAGTGTAATCCTGTCTTAATTGCTGGGCACGATTCCCACTACAGTACCTTAAATAACTGAAAACATTTGCCTTTCAAAGCCCCAGTCCACTTGGACAGTAAAAAGTTACATGTTTTGCTCTATGGGTATTTTATGCCATTCCTGTCACTCCACTGGTTGGTTATTGCTGTCGAGTGTAACAGATAAGATACCTAGACTTCAAAACTATTTGATATTTGATGCTTTATAGAAGGTGTGAGTTTGAAATAGAAATCTTTTGCCACATAAAGATATGATTCATGCAGTTAGCAGGAAAACAAATTACCAGTTTGATTTCTAGGACAGCTCAAGAATTTGTAACACTAGACTGTAAATTTTAGTTATTTAATTTTCTGATTTAAAAGTGCAGTGTGATTGAAAACTGTGGGAAAAGTTTGTGTTACAAGATTCAAAAGCAAAGTGTACTCTAATTGCATAAAATTGTGGAGAGAAAAAGTAGAACTACACCAAAATGTAGTGGTAGGATTTATAAGTTGGTCCCCACCCCCCCCCACCATTTTACACCTAACTGATTTATGGTTCTGGTGTGGGGGGAACGTGCATACCTTATTTAATTGCTGTATTTTTTTTCTTTTTTGAGCTGTTGAGGTGGCTTGCTTTCTTCCTCTTTCTAGTAGTGGAGAAAACCCATTCTCTTTTTCACATAAGTCTCTGGGCAGAAACAGTTTAGCAACAATCACTGTCTGGAGAGATTATGGAAGGAATACTGTTAAGAGTCCGAAGTGTGTTGCTGAAATTTAAAAAAAAAAAATCATCTTTAAAAATAATCCAATTTATGATTACCTGGGTTATTACTTTACTGTAGACAAGTATCTGACTTGTGTGTCCCCCACAGCCGTTGGCCCAAAGGGCCAACTAGAATTACTTGGTGCTTAGATGGTTTCATGGCTGTTTCCTGTCCTAAGAGGTCAGACCAGTTCTTGTTGCTTGGCTGAGGGCTGTTGACTCACTTCCAGATGCCTTGGAAAGAACTCCAGTGTTAATATATATCCTGCTCCAAAGGTTATTTAAAATGTCCTCCTTCAGAAAGAAAAAAATTTTTTGGAGTATGTAACCAGTGTCTTTCAGATTTTAAATAGAACCCTTTTCTTTTCAGACATATGGGAAAGTCATGTTAAGCCTAACATTGAAATACTCAATAAAGGCTAAGCTGAACTTTTTTTTTTAGTTTAATGAGAGTTTTATTTAACCTAGTATACTGAACACATGATCATTTTAACATATAATCAATACAAATAGAAATCTATACTAATCTACCTGTTTTTTCATCTTGTGTCTTTGAAACCTAGTATGTTTTTTTGATCCTTACAGGACAGCTCAATTTGGACAAGTCATTGCTTCGTGTGACTGAACATATGAAGCTGTCCTACTGAACAGTCCAGATCTGTGTAACCAGAGCTGTATTTCACGTAGCATGGTGTCTGCGTTGGTGAAAAACATCAAGTCCTACAAAATCGAACAGTAAAAATTACAGGGTTAATGGAAAAATAAGGATGAAACATGTCACTCAAAACATAGGCAACTTTGGTAAAACGAACCATAATGAGTTAGTAATCTGGATCTGGAAAAATGACATGAAGTGCTCAGGTAGGCAGCTCAGACTCCATAGTGAATTGTAAAAATTAAGAGGTGTTACACTGGCAGTATTTTTATAGAGTACAACTCATGTTGCCAGGGCAGTATGGATGGAAGGATTCTGTTAGCTGTAGGTAGGCATTGTTGGTTTTTGTTTTTTTTTTTTGCCTTATGGGGTTTTTGTGTGTGTGTGAAGATGAACTTTGAGTTTTTTGGTTGATGCACACTTTTCTAGTTCGCTGCAAGTTTTTTTTTTAATTGTAAATGCATGCTGAAGAGATTCTTTAGGTTTATTTTTAAGGTCTTTAGGTTTATTTTAGGGTTTTTAGGTTTATTTTTAAGGTTTGCCCTTGGTCATGCTGGTCTGAGGACCTGACTTTTTAATACTCAGCCATATGTTTTTCAGTCTAAGAAGTTTCATTTTTGGAATTCTGCTTGTATGGTTCTGATCTTCCTTTTACTGGTCTGTGTCTAAATCTTTCCCAGGATCGTAGCAACAGCTCTTGTACTAACCACCTTCCACCTACCTAGCCTACCCAGTTCTGGCTGAAGGACATCCTGGCTGTGACATCCCTGCATGAAGCTCCCTGCCAATGGGCAGGCCCGGGGAGTGTGTGCCTCTGTCCCCTTTGGCGCTTACCCATATAGAAGGCTTGCCAGGTGCCAGTTGTTTGTTCCCAAATCTGGTTATTCCAGTTAGACCTACTGCAATTTCAGTTAAATATTATATAAACCTTTGAACGAGTGTGACAAAAGAGTTGGTTTCTATGAAAACTTGAAGCTGAATGGGAACCCTTGATAAAAGTGAATTACTGTAAAAACGAGATTGTTAAATTAGATGTGGGCCTACTATTTAAAAGACTTGGGAGAAATCTGTAAGATTTCGCACCCATTCTGCTTTGCAGGTGGTTCCATTTTAAGAACCAAGCTTCATTTATGGCTGAACTCCCTTCCCAACAAACAAAAAAGCTTGACATGGAGTACCACGAATTCTCAAAATTATCTGTAACAAGAACTTCCCTGGTGGTCCAGCGGTTAAGAATCCCTCTTCTAATGCAGAGGACACTGGTTCGATCCCTGTTTTGGGAACTAAGATCCGGCATGCCTCGAGGCAGCTAAGTTGGGACACCACAGTAGAAGCCTCTGTGATGCAGCTGAGACCTTGCATAGTCAAATAAATAATTAAAGAAAATCTGTAACTAAAAGCATATTTATGTGTTCATTACATTCACTTGTATGTATATATGTATATGCTCAACCTATACACATATATATTAAAGATTTACTGCTTAACAAACTTTACGTTAGCTAACCAACTTATGGTCCCTATCAGCTGTAAGAGTGCTTCCATTATATTTAGCCTTAATCCCTAAATATTAAACTAGACTTCCTTATCTAGTTCATGCCAGGTAGCGCAGATAAAATGTGGGTCTGTTAGAATGGCTCTGCTGAGGTAATTTGTAATACTTTCAGAGTTTGTGTCATTCCCAGGATGGTGGGGGCAGAAAGATGAGTGATTTTACACTTCATTTATGTGGAGTTCAGAAGCTTATATCTTGTAATCCAGCAACTTTAATTACTTTGTCTTCCTTAGGAGATATGGTAAAGGTCTGTTCCATTTCAGATCCTTAAGCCTACCTGTTAATGGGAAGGAGACCTGTTGAACTTAGTTGTTGCTGTCTGAGTCCATTTCTCTTGCTTCTCTCTGTCTCCCATGTATCTGATCTCTTTGCTCCTCTGACTGCCCGCCCTTGCTCTGCAAACCTTGGTTCCTTTTCCAGGCCCTAGACTTGGTGTTTTGGGTCCCTTGCGTGTCCATAAAGCCTTCTCCACACTTGCTCCTTCATCTCAGACCACTTGCATTCCAGGAGGTGGGAACTTGGATGACTTTGGTCTCCTGTTTTTAAGAAGACAATTTGAGTGCAATTTTTCCTTATCCTTTTAGAGTGTAATTTTTCTTGACTTCTAACAACCCTGTGGCCTTCTGACAGTCTCACATTTTGCAATAAGGGTTTTTCATTCATTTTTGATTCGGAATAAAATTGTCAAAAGTAGAGCTGAACCGGGTCCCGGTTGATTGATCTGCCTGCTCCTGGCCCGTCCTGTCCTCCATCTCTTGCAGGTGGCTTTTGTCTGTTTTCGTTCTCTCGTTCTCTTTGTCAGGATGTGTGGGGTGGGGAGGGGCCCACATTTTGAAGAGGTGGATCCCGTTCCTAAGGGCCAGGTCTTGGGCCCACCTGAATGGGCAGCTGGGTTCCAGCCCTGGGCTCTGTGCTTCTGTTGGGCTTGCTTTCTACTTCGCCTTGTCTGTCTGGCCACAGATTTGACTACTCTTGTGAGGGGGCTTGCCCACGCCTCTTAGGACTTTTTCTGCCATTTGAAGAATTGTACCAGAAGAGCTTGGACTGTAGGAAAACACTAGCATCGTGAGGAGAAGACCCAGTGAGTTCTGAATGACCGCTCACAGGAGAGGAAGAGACTGTTGAGTCCATTTTACAGAGGGAAAACTGAGGTCAGCAGACCCTGGCTAGAGAGTGAAAGGCGGATCTCCTCCCCATATTTTAGTCCAGATGAACTGGAGGTAAAAGGAATGATCAGAGTAGCCCCAGGAGGTGGAGAAAAGGCCGTAAGAGAGGCTCTTGGCAGCCTTTGGAGAGGTTTTTTTACTTGAGAAAGTTGGGGGGAAGTTGAGGCAGTTTTTCAGCCTCTAGTAGGAGTGGATCTGTTCCAAGTGAGTGTTTGTTGTTTTTTTAAACACCAGTTGGTGGAGCTACCCTCTTCTCCCCAGCTGCCTGTCTCCTTAGTCCTGATTGGAAAAAGCCATGACGTCCCAGTTGCCCTGGGGCCCGTCTGGTGCTTGCTCCTTGTTTTATAAGTGCCCCCACCCCATCCTGTCCGGTGCACCTGAAAGCTGACCTGGGCTGTGTTTGCTTGCTCTCCAGGCTTCTGAATTCATTTGGTTTTGCAGGGGCTGTGACAAATAGGCTTCGATGCTTTTTCTGGCAACTTTATTGTTGCCCCTGACTTTTGCTGCTTAGGGGACCACGGGTTGCTGGGGGAAATCATTTGCCCTCAAATCCTCACCAGGGTCTGGGCTGGGCAGTCAACAAAGGCTGCCCAGATGTGTTAATGAGGCTGCGTGCGTAATGAGAACATTACATGTAATTACTCACATATTCATAGGATGTATGAAGGCCTTAGAAAGGGGAACCCTACTGACAGTCTTGGGAGCTGATTCTGAGAGCTGGTGCAGCCTAGAAGGCCTAAATTGGATTTTAAGTTCTAATTTTGTAAGTCTGTCAAGCTCCACCACCCATGAAGAGGTAGGCAGTGAGCATTGAAATACTGGCAGCAGTGTTTCGTTACCAGGAGTCCTAGAAGGTCATCATATTTATAGCCACACATTTTGCCCCTTTGTATTCCCTCCATGGCTCTTGTCACGTATTTTCGCCGGTACAACGAGTAGTATTTTTGGGTAGGGTGTGGGGTGGGACTTTTCCACCAAGAGACCCTCTGGTTGATGTGACTGAGTCCCCCAAGGGGAATGTTGGGAGACTTTCTGGCACCCTGTTTTTGTGGCTCTCTTCTTGAATCTGGGTGTTCTTTCTCCATTTTCCCCCCAACCAGAATTTGGGTTAGAGCTTGATCTACAGTGGTTGTGTGTGCTATCTCTCGGTTCTCATTTCTACCAGCTGTTAGAAGTGTTCGGCGCCTGTGGGGGCAGAAACAGGTGCCAGGAGGAAATGAGAAGGGATTAGGGCTGCGCATGTGTTTCTTGCGTTTACTCCCCTCCTGGTTTGCAGGAGGGGCGCCGCGTGAATGCTTCCTCTGTTCAGCAGCAGTTGGCCGTCGACCTTCTTTGGACTCGGCGTCTTCTCTGCTTTGTGTCCATGCCTCATGGCTTGTATGTGGGCTTAGGGAGCTCAGCGCCTCAGATTGTGAGGGGCTTGTTCTGAATGTGTAGGGCACCTCTGTGGTAGTGGACAAGATTGGGAGTAGGAGCTGAGCCCAGGGTTGAGCCCTGTGTTGCGCTGGCTGTGTGACCTGGGACAAGCCACAGAACCTCGCTGAGCTGCTTCCTCCCCCGGAAAACGTGTTCCATGCGCCTCACAGACTTGTGGCTGGGAGGGTCAGTGAGATTTTTGATGTGAAAGCACTTTGTAAACTGCATACAATGCACAAATGCTCAAGAAGGTATGATTACACAGTTGGAAATCACCAACCTAGAGATAGGAGGCCTGTCAGCAGCCTTCCAGGCTGACTCAGAAATGAATAAATCAGATGAATTCTCTGCCTCTTAACAAGCCAAATGAAGAGCAACAGATACTCTAAAATCCATTTTGGAATATAGAACAAAGCTTTAAAGATTAGGAGGTGATTATATTCAGTATCTTGTAATAAACCTGTAATGAAAAGGAATCTGAATAAAAACATGTAAAAGATGTGTAACATAGTCACTGCTGCCCACCTGAGATAGCACAGTGCTGCTGTGCACGTGAGACTCACGCCGTACAAGCAGACGGTGGTGTGATCTCCTCCCGCCCCCTCTCTGCTGGGCGGACCTCTTCTGTGTTGTCCAGCACCTGATTTCTGAACCTGACTGGTGGTGGCCTTAGAGTGACAGGTTGAGGACTCAGATTAGAGCAGCACTGAAGCTTCCCACAGAGGTGTTCAGTGTTCCTTGAACGTGAACATTGACTCCTTCAGTGCATCAAGTCTCAGCTAAGTTTGTCCTCGGCGCAGCATACAAAGCCCTTGCTCTGCCTTGCGCTTGGGCTCCCCTTTCCACCGCAGCTGACCCAGCCTCCTGATCTTTGCACATCCTGGTTCCTCAGCTTGCTTTGGGGCCGATTGTCTACCCGGTCCCGCCGAGCCTCCCCTGACCTCTCTGTGACCTGATGGGACAGCCTGCCACTGTCTTCCTCCCATCAGGCAGAGCCAAGCCTCCTTCCTGTGAGCCTGCCTCCTCACAACTACCTCTCTGAAATTAGTGTTTGTATGTATCTCACCCTGTTAATCCCACATGAGTAGAGGCTGAATTTTCTGTCATCACACAGTTTAGGAAATATTTGCTGAGTATTTAAAGTCCTATCCAGTAGTGGGAGGGAATTGGTAAGGATCGAGTGGAAAAAGGTGAGCTTGCACTAATCAGAATTTCACAGCTGAGGAAAAAACAGGTGTCTAGGAACAAAGGTTGCACATTTTACCAGTGACACCGCCAGGGCATGAAACCCAGCCCCTGCTAACAGTGGAAGGCCATCTGGGGATACTGCCTTTGGACCCATTTTTCCGAGATACGTTCTCCTGCCAGGTGTATCCTCAATTATCCATGATAACTGCAGTCATTGATTCATTTTCATGGGAAAACAAAATCTAGATGTAATCCCCATACGTACTTGGGCCTTTAATGTTTGCCCCTGTTTGAAAATGATTATATTGTCCTAGAAGTCATTCATTGCAAACAACACAAAGGTAAAATCTGTTGCAGTCACCTACGGGGTGTTCCTGCACTTGTACAGATGTCGTTTTACATATGTGGGCTCTTACTCTTAAATGATAGTCTCTTCTAGGCTCTTTACATTTATATATCATTTCAGTTACCGAAAGAGGACTCTGCATCATCACTGTTTTAAAATTGCTTGCTTTTGGTTGCGCTGGGTCGTTGTTACTGTGCTTGGGCTTTCTCTTGTTGGGGGTGAGCAGGGCTACTTGTTGCAGAGCGCGGGCTCTAGGGTGCATGGGTTTCAGTAGTTGCCACACGCTGGCTAATAGTTGTGGCCCATGGACTTAGTTGCCTTGAGGCATGTGGGGTCTTCGTGGACCCAGGGATGGGACCCGTGTCCCCTGTGTTGGCACGTGGATTCTTATCCACGGCACCACCAGGAAAGTCCCCTGCCCTGCTTTCCAGTAGCTGCTGGGCACCTGGTCGGTCTGTACCACAGTTTTCTTGTCCCGCCTGTTCTTGAGGGCTTTTGCACACAGTCTGGGGGCCGCTGTCCACAGTGCTGTGTGCAGGGTGCTTTGCCTGTATCTTTTTGCACCTTGATTCCAACTTCCTCAAAGTGAAATGGCCACTTTGTGTTACCAGTGTGTATGTTCAGGTCCCTCTTAAGGGCTGTTTTCTGAGAGAAAGGCTGCTCTAATTTACGGCCCCCCAGGTAGT